ACTACATTTGATGTGACTACATTTGAGCGCTGCTGCAGTTTGCACATCAGTTCACTTCATGATTCACCATCATTAAAACATATTCCGTTTGAAGGTCCCATCAATTTTAGCACATCCTCCAACAGGGCGCTAAAATACCGAACGAAATTCATCAGTAGCATCTGTCAGTGTTTTGCTTTGCTCGGCTAGGCTCTTTCGGTCTAATAAGACCATTCCATAGCCGGAAGGATGATAGGAAAAAGAGGGAGACATTGATCAGGGCGGGCACCCTAGTGAATCGTCGGGGGCTTATCTCCAGAAGCCACACTGGGCAGACCACCTAGCCCCCTAACACTCACTGCACCCGGTTACGGGTGTGCTCCTATTAAAGGGAAGCTTCCCGCATGGGATAAAATTGCCCGTCCAGCCCGGGCCAGGGACTTTAGGACGTGGAGGAGGATTTGACTATCCTGAGGATGAACACGACGGAACAGAGGTGATCAGATAAGAAGCTCCCCAGCTTTCACAGAGTGTGGAATGGACATTTCGGCAAAGAGCAGTTTGGACGCCCTAATGGGCACCTTCTCAGAAATGCCGAAACCCTTCTGCAAAGGCACAGAGGCAAAGAACACTGATGACGTTGAACAAATGATGTCCGCTTTTTTATAGGTTTTGATGCACTAGTTAGTCAGTACAGATGGAACGGCTGAAGATGGAACAGCTGCTGATATGAAATAATTTGTGTTGTGATATGAAATAACACATGGATGGGGCTCAAAAGATTGATCTGAGCCCAACCTTGTGACCCCAATTGACATTGAACTGGTGACCTCAATGTATTGACCTTGACCTTTGATCCCACGTTCTGACCTGGGGGTGGGTACAGGTAGCTGTTGCCACCCATCTTGTAGCTCGGCCGGGTAGCCGTAAAGTCACGTGACCTTTTCCTCGCTCACTAAAAGTCACACATTCAGCACGTCACAAGAAATAAATTAACAGGAATAGGCATATTGCATGACAAGAAATCGAACTGCAATCATTTGCATGATTTACATTCAATTATATCAAAGTCATTTACATTATTTTTTAGACAAAGATCATGAAAATTTATTCACGAACATTTTTCTATATTTTTGTATAGATCATACAATATACATGTTATTATTATCTATTCCACAAACATTGTACCTTGACAATGCGATGTAAACGCATTGTGGCACACTAAATAATAAGCCACTTAGCTGACGAAGGCCGGGCACTAGCCACAAACAGTCAAATTAAATTGATTCTCTCGAAGCCTTTACTCGTGACTAGCGTTTGGTAACCAGTAAAGGACCATCCACGATAAGAATATGACAATTTCGCTAAATAAAGTAATAAGCGTTTTGAAGTCAACGAGCCAGTGCAGCGTAACAATCTAAAATATTTCTTTTCATGTCTATGAGTAGAGCCACCGTAATACGAGCTATTATTGCTGAATACTCACTCCAATGTTTGCGTCTCGTAGTAAATCACGTTCTCCCTCGCATCATAAAAATGACTCTGAAACAAAACAACACACGTCGGATCGTATTGGAAATAATCGAGAGGATAACAATACAAACATGCACAGTTGACTACAGAATGATGTTCCATTCCTCATAAGAAAAGATCCTTCTCATACTTTAGATCTTCCATTTCATTCTTTCATTTGCCTACGCAATTAACCGTATTTGTGGTGAGTGTTGTGGCACAACACTAAACTGTGTCACTCAGCTCGTGTGACGCGGCACAGCCTACCACTCCAGGCGACTTATTCCGCCCAACATCATTCTGTAGTCAACTGTACACAAGCCTAATGTTTATATAAAGCTTATATACGCTATATATAACGCTGTGCATTACAAAATTTCATCTTTAGCGAGCACTACAAACAAAACTATCATTAAATCCATTAGCCAGTGGCGGATCCAGGGGGGCGAAATGGGCATTTGCCCCTCCCAAACGGCATAATTTTAACATTACGCCTATGGACGAGGCATGGAAAGAATCGATAAATTGTTTTGGTTTGCCCCCCCCCCCCCCCAAAAAAAAAAACTCTGAGCTAGACCCGCCTCTGCCATCAGCCACCTATAGTCCTATAGGAGCACCCTCCGACTGACCGGACGCTCCTGTATCAGCGGGGATTCCCGCTTGTGGCGCGTTGGGATGCCGAGGTGCCACGACTCCAACTCATCCTTGACACAGGGCGAGTAGCGCAGTCCCCTGTTGGCCAGAGGTACCATTCCAGCGTACTGCGAGACAAAGCACACCTGTCACTCGATGGATCCGCGGATAATGCTGTCATCGGATGGTGACTGACTTCTGACTGAATTTTAGGCAGCTACAGTAAGGTAGAGTTCGGCTGATTGGTGACTTCGATCTTTTAACCGCGCCGTGCTGGGGGACTTTTACGCACCCTCCCTCAAGTATTTCGCAAATATCTCAAAAATAGCTGCGCTTATGCATCTTGCCCTCACAATAATGTGAAAATTTCAGATCCAGGTCGTTCAAGGTCAGGTTACCAGATCACGTCAAGTGACCTCACCTCAGAAGAAGTTCAAAGGCTCGCTGTAGCTACACCGACTGAACGATCGCTTTGAAACTTTCAGCGACTGGTCAGAGAAACCGTATGTATAACATGTTTATCCCGGAATTTTGATACCTGAGACAAAAGGTCAGTTCAATTTTGCGACCTCTCCCTTAGGTATAGAGAAAATTGAAATGCGCCTCTTTTGGAGGGATATCGATCAAACACTCTTATTTATTTATTTATTTATTTATTTTATTTATTTGCAGATCTGTGTGGCATCCAAACACATCGTTGGCTGTTAACCCGCGAGCTGCTGGGAGGGGGGGGGCGTTAAACGCCCCCACTTTTTTCGCTGGGCCAAACGGCGCGCCGCAGGCGCGCCAAATTTTGGGTGCCTGTAGGAAATTGATTGAAGTTTATTGTGATTGTGACAAAGTTTCAAAAAAATCGGTCGGAAAATTTTTGAGATATCGAGGTTTTAGTGACGTCATGATTTCTGAGTTTTCGACCAAAAACGGCATATGTTCAAAAAATCATATAAAATCACAGAACAGACATACAGGAAAAGAGGCATGAACAGGTGTACCACGTTTTTGAGATATTTATGAAATATTTTTATAAATATTTTATGAGATATTTACGAATTATGAAAACACTGAGGGGGCGTGAAAACGGCGCTTTCAGCATGGCGCGGGTCGGGTTAAGTTTTTACTAACATTATTGACCAGACCAACATTGGTTGGTGGATAAGGTTTAAAATAAAAGATGATGACCATAACATATGCAATGCTTACGAGTCGCAACATACATAGTCACACATTGCACGCAAAATACCGTAAACATGGTGGCCTTCCTTCGGTTCTGTCCCATGTATAATCCATACCCTGAAGACGTCCGCAGCGTCGGCGTTCGGGTGCAGGGAGAAAACCCGTGTGACGTCATCCTTATCCACATAACCATATTGCTCCTTGAAGCCCTTGACCAGATTGTCCAGACTTGTACGATTCACTCCCGCTCTATCCAGGTGGCAGGAAATGGCCAAAGGTCACATACAGCCCCAGTCGGAGGTCAGAACTCGGAGCTCAAATGCTGGTCGCCGATTTTACGTAATTCAGGCATGCAGTACCCCATGTCAATTAACTCGGCATCAATTGATTGACAATGATATGACATCAATTGCGGTTCGGAAGACACGGCGATCACAGAGCGTTTGCTTTATTTTTTTTTTTCATTTTTTGCAAAACATTTTAGATACTATTGAATTTATTCATGCTCTCGTATGACGCATGTGTATTTAAAATGTACTAAAATGTCGAGCATCATCATACAATGCATCGGGTACATACATCAGTTTAAGACCAACCTTATCAGCGACTCGAAGAGCTTCTGTTCTAGGGCTGCGCAATATTCCTTCACGTCCTGAAAAGAGTTAACAACATATTCAAACACACTCTGTTGGTCGATACTCCGTCAGCGCATAAGTGTACATAAATGTACAAATGTACATGATTAAACCCGCGCCAGGCCAGGACCTTTTTTATAACGCGGACGGCCAGGTACGATTCCCCTTGGCGATTGGCTCATATGATACTTAGAAACACCACATTTACAGGGTAGGTGCACCTGTAAGAAAACTCGTCCCGGTGCTAATTCGGTGATTCTAGGTCATTATTTGGGGGTGGGGTGGAGTGGGGAATATAAATGTAAAAATTTCATTGAAACACGCCAAAGGTTTTTCGCTTATAACTTTTAGTCCAGTAAAGCTAGAGCAAAAAAAAAATATATAAAAATAAACATTAGCTGTATGGCGTCATTGTGATGTCATCTTAACCCTATTCCTGGCGGGCTCCGCCGGGACAAGAAACTGGCGGGGGGGGGCCGATTCGGCCCCCCCCCCCTGAGATCTCGAGAACGAAGCAAGATAGCGACAAGCGGTAAACGGCATCGGATACGCACGGCCAAGATCTACAATTTTTACTAAGGTCATTTTCAGGTCAGGTCAAAGATGACGTCACAGGGGTCGAAAAAGTCAAAATGGCGGCACTAGATATGGAGAGAGTTTTTCTCGAATAACTTTCGAATTAGTCAAGATAGGAACAAACTAAGGGCATCATCGTGTTCCTCTCGTCAATCCGCATCGAATGCTATATATGTTGACCTCGAAAGGTCAAGGTCAAAGGTTGACCTCAGGTCACGTGACCTCGAGGTCATCATGTATATCATTCGATGCGTCTTGACGAGCTGAACACAATGAGACCATCCACGCGTCTGTATCTTGTTCCTGTACGGAGTTATTGGCCAAAAACCTTTGGTGACCTTTGATGACGTCACATGACCTCACAGCTGCCCAACAGCAAAACAGACCTCAAGGTAGTGAAGGTTGATCGTATATGAAGTCATGTATGGTATATGGGGCCATTCCGACCCGTTTTAGTGGTAAAAACAGGGAGTTGATTTTTCCCCCATTGACTTATAATGGGGAGGTCGCGAAATTGACCTGACCTTAGGTCACCGATATCAAAATTCCGAGATATACAAATTGCACATACTGGTACCCTAACTAAACCCTGAAGAGAAGAAATTGATCGGTCAAAAACTCTAGCTCTGGCGTGATTGCAAACTTTTCTGAGGTAGGGTCACCAAACCGCCTCTGGTGACCTGACCTGAGGTCAGATCAACTCAAAATTTTCAGACATGTTGCGTAGAAGCCTTTTAGGAAAAGTCAGAAAATTTGAGCTTCCTAGCTCAACGCGTTTGGGAGATATAACCAAAAAACCTCAGGGGGGGCTCCTGAGGCCCCCCCCGCCAGGAATAGGGTTAAGGGCTAAAAACACAAACATTTTTTTTCAAATATGGCCTAGGTAGGTATTAATTTAAAGTTATACCAATTTTCAAATTCATGTCTAATCAGATTTCGGAAACATCACACAAAAAGTAAGGGGGCAACATTATGCCCTCCACCTCCCAGCGGCTCTTGACCCTCCCTTTAATGAGTTGGCATGAAAGTGATGTCGCTTGGTTCAGAAAGAGTGAAAACGAATATCCACCAAATTTCACCGAAAAATATTCACCGGTTTTAAAGATATTAGACTTTAACTTTTTATCTCCGCTGTTCCTAGCGACTTTTTTTGGAAGCAATAGCTTGGCAGCTGAAAGTGCGGCACTTATTGCGTGCAAAGCAGCATATACCACCGCGTGCTACCAAACGTTTTAGTAAAAGATTTAAAATCGTTAGATCTGCGCTGACGTCACACATTCAGAGGGACCATTCAAATACATTAGACCCTCTGAATCCAAGTGCTGCAACTTTGAAGCAAGATATTTTCAATTTGAGGCATTTCTCGATGTTGTGACTTGTAAGTGCTCAAACCGGTAAGTGCAAGCCAGGGACCCCATTTCGGCTATCTCAACCCAAAACTAATGTTAAGGTGGGATGGTCACTTTAAGTGTTAAGAATGACGTTCGTCCAAAAGGAGCGCCTTTCAAATGTCTCCTGTTAACTTATCATGGAGAAATTGCAAAATTTAACTCACCTTAGGTTCCCGCCGCGTTTTTTAGGATAATCGCAAAAAATCGGGGGGACGGGGGTTCAAAGACCTCTCACCCCAGCAGAGCACAGGTTAATCTGGTATAAAAAAGTATACCATTCGATGCGCATTGAAGTACTGAGTTCACTTGTAATTTTGTTTTTCCTATGCCTCCCAGGTCAACAGTTAGAGGCAAAAACTTTTGACGTGTTTTAGCGAAATTTTTACATTTATGCTTCGCAAAAGAAAGACCAAAAATCAAACTAGAACCACCAACTTTGCACAAGGGCGTGATTTTTTTATGGCTTCATCTACCCTGTAAATTTCGTGTTTCTAAGTGATATAGGAGTCCATTTCTAGGAGGAGGGTCGTACCCCCCAAGATTCCTTTACTACGTACCCCCCCCCCCCCCCATGGCCGTCCGTGTTATGAAAAAATTCCCTGGACGGGCGAGGGTTAAAGAGCATTGTTGTTCGGAGTCTTAGCGGGGGTCGGAGTCGGAAACTGAGTCAATGTTTGAAATCAGAGTCTGAGCCGAAGTCAGAGTCACCAAAAATCCATCGACTCCGCAGACCTGGTTATAACACTATTTGGTCACCGTTCGCCCGTGGCCGTTTCTGATTTATATCAAACTTACCGGTTCATCGCGGCCGGTGTATGCCGTCTGATCTCGGTAGGGTGGTGGGACCATCATATTCCCTAGCCACCCCCCGGCTGCGAGGAATGTGTCTTCCAGGTCACCATGCAGTCTGCTGAAAACGCTCAGCGTTCTCTCCCGCGTCAGCTCGTAGGGTTGACGACCCCTCCTCCTTAAGCCCACACCGGAGTCCTTGACAGCTGAAAAAGTGATGTTAGGTTATTTCTAATTGGACAGGTGCTATAATAAAACAGACAGCACTGAGAAAAAAATTGACTCCATATGGGTCAAAACTCTTGAAAATGCTCCCCTGAAAACTCCTTAAAACCATTGATAACTCCCTTTCCAGCAGAGTTATCGAGTGTGTTCTAGGGTAAATTCGAGCCTTCCTCATTTTGCGAAAGAGTTTTCAAGAGTTCTTAATGGATGGCGAAATGACTCCATGTGTGACACCCCATAACTCTGTGACGCAACTCTACATTACTCCCGAAAAAACCTTTCCCGAACGTTCCGACAGGAGTAAAAGGGGAGTTACGAAGGGGTTTTAGCATACGTCGCGAGGCTGCCGCGGTGACCGCCATCTTTTGCGCTTAGTACACATCACGTTGTGCGGCACGGCGGGCGAGGTGCTAGTGAAGAGCGTGTTGACTTAGACGGACCTGACCTATACAGTGACGGATAATTGGACCTTACTTTGGATTTAAAGGTAAGCTTAGCTGTATTTCTCATCATGCTTTTATAGTGTAAAGTGTTATAATGCTGTGATGAGAACATATGGTAACCCCATGTTCTTGATGGATTTCTTCCTTCCATCTTTCCTCGCTTCCTTCCTCACTCCCTCTTTCCCTCCCCTCTCTCTCCCTTTCTTTCTTCCTTTTTTCCTTCCTTCCTTCCTTCATCCGTCCCTTTCTCCTTCATTATTTCCCTCCTTCTCTTTTTTCTTTCTCCTCCATTCCTCCCACGCAATGTTAAGTGTACCTATAATTTCATGGTCATTAACATTTTGCAGGGGATGAGCTGGAGAGCCTGCAATCCCGCAAGACACGTCGGAAGCCAACGGAGGCCATCAAAATATCCATCCCACCATCGTGAAAGGAGAGCCGGACGAAGAAGACGCAGTATTCGTCGAGGCCCAGGAGGTGGTAGGGTAGCGGCACCACCAGACCAAGCATTCCCGCTGTGGTAGGCCGCCTTTTGGATTCTTAACATCAAAACTCGCGACCGTGAAGCATATGGAGTGAGATCCCCGGAGAGCGTGCCGCGGCGGGATGTCGAAAGCGTTTGTTAGTTTTTTTAAGCCTCCCACCGCCCCGGACTATGAATACACATTTCTTGAAATATATTTTTTATCTGTACTTCGGTACACGAGCTTTGGGTGGTTACGCTATTCGTCCAATATTTATTTTCGGGGGGGGGGGGAGGGGCTGGAGTGGAGTGATGGGAAGTTTGGGTGGGTTTGATGGGGAGTAACAAGAAGTATACCATGAAGCTGTAAACGGAGTTTTGGGGAATAATGGAATGGAGTAATCGGGAGTAATTATGAGGCAGTAGGAGAGTCATTGAGAGTAATGGAAGGGAGTTTCAGGGAGTATGTTGTTTGTTTTGATAGGGTAAGGGAGAGTAATGGAGAGTTTTCTAAAACGGTAGGGAGAGTTACAGAGAGTTTCTCGAGGGAAGTTTTGGGGTGTAATGGAGAGTTTTGGAGGGGGTGTAATGAGGAGTACCACCTGGGAGTTTTGGGGTGTCGTTTTGGTGAACTCCCCCTGGGGTTGTCATGCGGAGTCAGGATTTTTCTCAGTGAGCTTGGGATAGCGAATCAGCGAATCAAAACGAATTTGATCACACGGGACAGTCAGAGCTAACGATACCGCATTGGAAGGCTGATGCTACCAAAGTGGACAAAAAAAATAGATGGGGCTACCAAATCAGACAGGTGGAACAACTAAATAATTTCAAAAAGGCTACAAATCAGAGTGCTGGGCTGACAAATTGAGATACCCAAAAAGTGAAAAGAGAGTGGAACCAAAGTGAATGTTTGGTGTGATCAGAATAGTTGGGTGGCTGTCTTCGGATCACGGCACTTGCCAATAGAGATGTCAATCGGATACCAGCTTTTTGTTACACAGATACCAAACCAATACCGACTTGCTATATTTGGTACTCCAATCATAATGTTTTTAGTATTTTGTTGGTATTTTGAATCCTCGCTAATGTAACGTAAGAGGCAGTAAATTTTGTAAAAACTAATAAATTGACATTTTCCTCATATTTCCAAGTTGGTTCAGTTTCGGTGTATTCCAATGGCTTTGGACGGTATTTCGTTTGGTATCGGTATTCCGATATTCTCTAGCTGACGTCACTACCCGCCACTCACCAATGGTGCACCGTGAGTGGGGCTCGGCGGTGACTATCAGGTCAGCGGCTGTGTCGGGCGCAGCGTTGCTGGCAGTCCAGTCGACTGTCATCTACCGGAGACAATAAGTCTGTCAACCTACTGGCACCTATACCTACAGGTCAGAGATCGGCTGCACTGCACCAGCGTCAGGCGACAAAGGTTAACCCCAAATATCTGATCTTTTTTTGCGTGTGAATATTGCTTTAAGAAAACTATTTTAATGGGTTTTAAATTAAACTCTGATCTGTCATTTTGTCATCAAACAAGAAGCTGTGCTATAGTTAGCTCGATAAAAGCCGTTTTCACGACGGGCTATCCGGCGAATGAACCCAATTTGACCAAATCTGCACCTAATCTCTTTTACAGCAAATATCTTCATTTTATGAATTTATTTCAGTGTTTAAATCGATGATACTCTCTGAAAATATGACAAACCGGGCATATATGTAAGCAATTAGCGCAACCCTAGCTGATAGCTTCTAAGAGGCAAGGCCGTATAAGAGAGGTAGAATCATCCCGCAATTTCCAATGGACCGGTCGCTAAGCATTAGCGTGACGTCACTGGTGGAGACCGCGCGGCGCCCGGCTCCAAGCCGTACGTCGGGTACATTTGGCACTTCATCGTTGTTATTACTGAACGTAACGACAACTTATGACCCTTAATAACTTTTTTACCCACCTAAAGCTGATTTCCTTGCGGATACATTGCCGACCCGAGCCCCACGGTTGACAATCTTGGGATATGGGTCGGATGGGCGACCTCGCGACGGGAGAAGGAACTATTTCAATTGTTGTGTCCCGCACCGCCGATTGCATTCTCTATCTGTACCCGGAGGGGGGGGGGCAGGGGGCACGTGCCCCCATCGGATCAGGGGGCCTCTCGGGCCCGAGGGGGCCTCTCGGGCCCGAGGGGGCCTCTCGGGCCCGAGGGGCCCTGCAGGGCCCCCTTGGCGTCGCATGCGACGCCAGTTGGCGGCTGAGGGTCCACGCTGGCATTTTCGACTCAGAAGGGCCCCACAGGGCTCGAAAGAATACCTTATGTGCTCCGAATAGCCACACTTCTCTCCATAAGAGCCACACACCGGCTTTTTATTGTTCCTTGTCGGCATTTGAGGGCCCCTTGCCGGCCTCTCAGGGCCCATTGGCGACCTCTGAGGGCTACTTGCCGGCCTCTGAGGGCCCTTACCGGCCTATCAGGGACCAGCAGCTCTAAGGGTTCCACACACGCCTGTGATGACCCCCTAAACCAATGGTTGAAGGCCCCCACAACGGCGCCTGCGAGGGCCCTCACCGGTGGCTGTGAAAGCCCCAAACCGGTGCCCAGCTGAGGGCCCCACACTGGCACCTCTGAGTTCAACCAGCATCCCTGAATGAAGTTCCAAAGGCCCAAACCAGTGCTTCTTCTAGAAATTGAATTTGCCGTGGGACCTTGAGGATCCTGGATCTTGATTTTTGGTCACGGCACAAGTCTGTTCTTAAGGCCATATATCGGCGGCTCTGAGGGCTCAACGCCGGAGCCTCTTACGGCCTAAGACGGGACCTTCGCATCGGACGGCCACTCACCGGTGACTTTTGAGGACCCCACACCGACGGCGACGACTCTGAGGGCCCCCACCGGCGTCTGAGAGTACCTTGCTGGTCTCTGAGGACTCCACAGGGCTCCTGAAGACACCGCAGGCCTCTTGAGGGCCCCTTGTCGGTCTCTGAGAGCCCCTGTCGGCTTATAAAGGGTTCGAGCCAGCAGCTCTAGGGGTCCCGCACCCGGCTGTGATGACCCCACACTGCAGTTGAGGGCCCACAGGCCACAATGGCAACTGTGAGGACCCTCACCAGCGCCTCTGAGGGCCACACACTAGCACCTCAGAGGGCCCGCAGCGGTACCTCTGGGGCCCCGCACCAATGCCTCCGAGGGCCTCACACCGGTACCTACCTCTGAGGGCCCACACCAGTGCCTCCAAAGGCTTCATAACCGGTGGCCCTGAGGGCACTACACCGGTGATTTTTGGGGGCCTACCGAAGGCACAACACAATCCCTCAGTCTCGCTGAGTTTCTATCCCAATCCCATACCGGCTTCTATCCCAATTCCGGCTCAACTAATTAGCAGTCCCCCCCCCCCCAATGGGTCAGCTGCGCCGCGCCGGTGTCGGTGCCGGGGGCCAGCGCCATCGGGGCGGCAGTCGGCCACGCGCACTCAATGGTTAGCGCTTAGCACCGGCGGCTAGCGCACGCCCGGCGTGTTATTGGCCGTGAGCCGCTCCAAAACGGCTGCAGTAGCTGGTCGATATAGGCATTAAGCAGATGAGAAGATGCAGGTGGATTAATGACCGGCAAGCTTTTGTGCTTTACGAGGGCGAAGGATCGAAGTTGAAGTCGGCTGCTAAGCCGTGAGCGGATTTTATCAGATGCCGGTTCACTATGACCTTTATCCGGGTCCTGGTCCGCTGAAGCACTCTTGGAGAGCCGAATCACAGCAAAACTCCATCCACGACTGTATCTATACGGCTTACGCTTTTCTGAAAACGTCTGCGTTTGGCCTACGGGCCCGGCCGGCCGGCCGGACGGCCCCGATTGGCGATCCACCAGTGACGTCACTGGTAGTGTTAAGCTGATTGGCGAATAATGCATGGGGAAAACCGGGACGACATCCCCCTGCTAAGAGGTACACTGAACCTAATTTGACCAAATCTTTACCTAATCTGCACCAAATTTGCACCAAATGTGTACCAGATGGCGTTATCACAAGTGTATTCGCGGCCATTGGGGCGACGTAAGAAAAGAAGAAAACAACTGGCCCCAAGAACTTTAAATTATCAGTTAGCATGCACCTTTTCCTTGATATGTAGAGAATTTACCATTAATTCTTAGAGAAAATTGCATTTAAAATCTTCCATTTATGCTTCTTTCATCGTTTGCACAGTATGTTCTTTTACTAAGCTAGAAACACTAATTAGAAATAGTTCCCGCATCATCAAGAACAATAGGGAAGACTTGAAGTGAATATAATAATCTAAACGGTTTTGTAATCCATGTGAAGACACTTCTAAAATTGCCTGTAGAAATATTAAAGGCAAAAGTTCAACTTTTTCACAAGACGGATGGCTATAAACCTTTTCAACGTGTGACAACTCAGCCGGTATTTTGTCGCCTACAGCCCAGCTTTCCCTAGTGACCGATAGAGGCGCTGCTATCGATGTCCGCCCGTGCCGCCTAACGCATCGTGAAAACGGCTAATGGCTTGTCTTATTCTACGTTTTATTTGTCCTCTCCGTCGCTCTCATCGACTTGCCTCGTTGGGGAAGCAGGTCTCGACATCCATCTCCACGGTGTCTGCCATCACCTCGCCACTCTCGAGCTGGCTGTAGACGAGCAGGCGCGCCTTGGGACTCATCTCGGGCACCATGTGCAGAATCAGCTCCTCTGAGCGCAGATCGGCCGTCTGACTGGCCACCACACGGTCGCGAGCTATTACCTATAGCGGAGATTGGAGAATACAGATCAGCATGAGAAAAAGGGAGGAAACTTGGAGACAGCATGGAGAAATGAAGAGTCAGGGAAGGAGCGGGGTGATGAGACATCACATATCTAACTTGACGACGGAGCAGCTTGGGAATAAGATTGTACATACTGTCTGAGTCATTATTCTAAGAAACATTACGCGTTTTAAAAACAGCTTTATGGAAACACGGAAAAGAAGTTAACATTGTATGTAGGTACATGCATCCGCCCACACTTAACCCTCGCCCGCACATGGGGGGGGGGGGGTTGCCACCTTGGTTGCCACCCCCCCCCCCCCCAGGTAGTCTTTCTGCTCTGCACTCGACATTTTTAAAGCTAGAAGGCTGATTTTTCGTATAGCTGCTCCTCTATCCTTTTTTGATGTCCACTGAAAATTTCAAGTTTCTGTGATTTTTGGTTTCGGAGATATGACATTGTTTTTCAGGTCATGTCATGACCCAAATGGCCAATTCTCAACATCTTGCGTTTGCTATGGGCCTTGTGAGCTTTTGACACCTTGATTTCGGCCTTTTTTGCCAGTCTTACCTCCCACCTATCATGGAACATGCTGTTCGACGATGTACAGGTGTCAAGGTCAGGGTCAAGGTCAACCTAGGTCTGTTAGGGCCAAGTAAAGCTGCATATACCACGACACGGTGTATTGTGCTTCCAGCGACCGAAGACCAAGCACGGACACGGCGACCCGCCGACTGACCCAGTCTGGTCACGGTCGCGCCCTTATATAACCACGGCACAGAGCGCATGCGCGATGACCGCGCGGCGGTCAGGCGGCTCGCCGGCCGGACGGCCGGGCCGCCGACCCCGCCCTGTTCCACGGCCCCACACGGCCGGTCCGCGGTCACAATATCCCAACACTCCTCCCCCCATAAAAGAAACGTTTCCACTTGGTCAAGTAACAAAGAAACGCGACACACTACGCGACCGGAACGCGACCGGAAATACAAACTGATTTAGACACTGGTGATGCACATCGAGAGCATCCGAGGCCTAGGACTGAAAACGATCTGGGGGGAGCGACACTCTGCCAGACCTGGTCACATACGCGCCCCGCACAGATGTACCGCCATTCCCCACCTGATCTCGGGCCCGCCGGCAGAGGTAGTACAACGCCAGTGGATCCGGTCCAGTCTCCTCGGACCCCGTCTGCTTCCTGGGACGCGTTTCTGTGGCTGTGTCCGATGCGTCGTCCCTCCGGGTGCTTCCAGACGTTTCCTGTTTGTGGGACTCCCGTTCCACAGCTGGCTTTAGCTGGTTGAAGTGCAGAGCCTTTTCCTTGCCCTTGTCGTCACGGACGAGGTACGTTACTCCTCTCTCTCCTCCGAGGCGGCCGATGATGGTGCCCGGGCCTTTGTAGTACAGTCCCAGTTTCGGCTTCCCGCCGACCGAGACCCTATTATCCCGAATCCATACCCGGTCACCAGCCTCGAACCCTTTTCCGCTCGCGCGCTGGTTGAATCGGGTCGCAGCCTCCGTAGCACTGGCCCGGGTTTTCCTGATAGTCGTCTGATAAGCCTCTGAAATGGCCTTTAGACGCTCTTCAAGGTAGCACCGGATATTTACCGCCCGATCCGGAGGGTTGATGACCGCATCGAGTGGCGTTTTCGGGTGGAATCCGTGCAGCAGAAAGAACGGGGAATATCCGGTGACGCTGTGCACAGAGGTGTTGTAGGCCATGCAGTACGCCTTGATGTCAGCGTCCCAGTTCGCTCCTTGAGGGTCAACGTATTTGGCGACCATGTCTTTGAGTGTTCTCATAAAACGCTCTACCATACCATCACTCTCAGGGTGATATGGCGTTGTACGCGTTTTCTGGATGCCCAGTCGCTTGCACATGCACTGGAACAATGCAGACTCAAATTGGCCTCCTTGGTCCGAGTGAATCCTGTCTGGCACCCCCATGTCGTAAACCCAATCCAACAGCACCGTGGTTACGGTTTCGGCATCCTGCCGTCTGACTGGGTACACTCGGACGTATTTAGAAAAATAGTCCATGATGACTACTGCACATCGGTTGCCATTCTCCGACACCGGCATCTCAGTGATGTCAATCGCAATTCTGCGGAATGGTTGACTCGTGACCTCCGTTACCAGAGGAGCCCGTTTCTTCGGTGCAGGGCGATGGCGCCGTTGGCAAAGGTCACACGTGCTGCAGTACCGACGGATGTCCGCGAACATGCCGGGCCAGAGGAAGCGCTGTCGCACTCTTTCCGTTGTTCGACTCCGTCCCAAGTGTGCGGACGTCGGATGGTCATGGGCGAGCGTCATGATTCTTGATCGCATCGAATCAGGGACCAGGGCCCGGAAGCCCCACTTCGTCCTCATGCCGAGGACGCCCTCCCGCACTTCGAGCTGCGCCCAGCTTCCACGCAGTAGCTCCCACTCGGCGAGAGGGTGATCGGGCGGTGGTTCCCGACTGCCCAGACAGGCGTCCCGCATGACACTGAGGACCTCGTCCTCTTGTTGCGCCGTCTGCAACTCCGATTGTCCTGGTGCTCCAGTGATTAGGCGTCCCGCCTGGTCATCCTTCGCACTAGGTGGCGCAGTAGGCAGTGCGCAGACTTGGTCGTCAAGTTCTGCAGCGCCTCGAGTCTTCCCCACACATTTCTCCTCTTCACCAGAAGCAGGTTCTTGGGCTCTTGTAGCTGCGGTATGCACGGGTGCTTGACCGGCTTCGGCGGGACAGGACTTGCTGCGCTTGCCCGTCCAGATATTGACGTTGACTGGTCGCTGCCGGGACATCGCATCGGCATTGCCGTGATCACGGCCCGGCCGGACAACCACCCGGAACTGGTAAGAGCTCAGCTCGATGGCCCACCGGCCACGTCTTCCCGTCCCGTCCCGTTCCACATTGATGGACTCCGGTACACCCGTGAGTGGTTTGTGATCGGTCACGACTTCGAATTCTGCTCCAACTGTGTACTGGTTGAATCGCCGGATGGCGTGAACGATGGCCCAGAGTTCTTTATCATATGTTGGCCATCTGCGCTGTTGCTTTGTCAGCACCTTACTGTCGTAGGCGATGACTCTCTCCGTGTCACCCACCCGCTCCGCGAGCACTGAACCGACTGCAGAGTCGGATGCATCCGTGTACAAGACGAATGTACCACGGAACGTAGGGAGGGCTAACACTGGAGGTGCAGTCAGCGCCTGCTTCAGACTCTCAAAAGCTGCTTCAGCTTCCGGCGTCCACGTCAGGTGGTCACCCACCACCTTGGCTTCCCTCAGCGGCTTCGTGAGATCCATGTATTGTGGGACAAAACGGCTGTAATATCCGCACAATCCGAGGAAGCTCTTCATGCCATCTTCCGTCTTCGGTGGAGCCCAGTCGAGTATCTTCTGGATGTTATGTGGGTCCGGTAGGAGTCCCTCCTTTGCGACCCGGTGACCGAGGAACGTAACTTCGCGCTTTGCGAGGCGGCACTTTTCTGGTTTGAGCTTCAGCTTCGCCGACCTCACTCGCTTGAAGACAGCACGGAGCGTTGCGATGTGCTCGTCCTCGGATCTGCTTGATATGATGATGTCATCAAGGTAGACTAAACAGCGTTTCGAGTCCAGACCTGCAAGCACCAGTTCCATGAGTCGCTGGAAGGTGGCTCCAGCATTTTTGAGACCCATGGCCATCACCCGGAACTGATGGAGTCCTTTGCCCGTGGAGAACGCCGTCTTTTCTCGGTCCTCTGTGGCCAGCGGGACCTGCCAGTAACCGGTCGCCATGTCGAGCGTCGTGTACCACGTTGCCCCCGCTAGGGTATCCAACGCCTCGTCGACCCTCGGCAGAGGATGCGCACATCCGCGAGCTCGGCTGTTGATCGCGCGGAGATCGACGCAGAAGCGGAAACTTCCATCTTTCTTTCTGGCCAGGACGACTGGGGAGCACCACGGACTTGTACTCTCTTCAATTATTCCATCTTTCATCATCTGCGTCTTCTGCATCTCGACTTGCTCGCGGAGTTTAACTGGTACCCGCCGTGGTCTCTGCTTCACGGGAGCCTCCTCCCCTGTGTCGATGTGGTGTTCGAGCAAATCTGTCTTGCCGATATCACCCGCATACTGACTGAAGATGTCTGCATATTCGCTGAGAATGGTTCTGAGCTTCTCCTTTCCTTCCGCTGAGAAGTCAGATCCGTCCACATCAAGTACTTCTGTCACCGTCGTATTCTGACGCCTTTCTGTTCTGCAGCTCACATCATCAACGTCATCATCATCACTGTCCTCAACGCCTCCGTCTGCAGCCAGGCACAACTTGTACTCGCAGTCCTTCTCGTTTGTAGCATCATAAAATGTCCCTAGGTCACTGCCTCTGAGAACACGGACTTCTTCAGACCCAACATTTGTCAAAATGATCGAGACGCACCCGTCGTCGTCTGCAACGACCAGAGCCCTTGGAGTCAGGAGTCCCTCCCGCTCCGCTACGGTTGATGGCTCGAATATCCCGGCTGCACCCATTTCATCACTCTGCACGCCGTCCACTCTCTCCAGCTTACCGGCTACCACGCTCTCTGACCGTGCTGGAATGACGACGTTCGACAGTAATCGCACTCGCGCACGTCTTGGTCGAACCTGCTCCCGGCTCGGCAGGGGAACGCTCATGGTTCCAATCTTGAATGAGCCAGCGTCGTCGTCAATGACCGTGCGATGCATGCACGTGAAGTCGCGATCTAGTATCACGTCGTACACGAGGTCGTCTGCCACGGTCACTACCGGGCATCGGAAGCTGACTCCATCAATGCATAATGAGAGGTTTTCCAACTCACCAACTACCTGGAGGGAGGTACCTCCCGCTCCGATAGCATTGCGCGCGCTCGGGCTGAGCCGGATTGCTCTGAGTGCTGGGTTCCCCTCATAAAATCCTCTTCGCATCATAGTGAAGTCGGCACCAGTGTCCACCAGCGCCCATGTCGAAGCGCCGTGAATGACGACCCGAACGGCCGACGCCGTGAGTGGGGACGCTTTCGAGAGGACTGGGACCTGTCCCACGGCTCCAGTCCGGTTCAGTTTTCCTGATGCGCACCGGCGCCCCGCCGGGGATCAGCAGCTCTTGTCTCGGAGTGGCCTCCGCCAGTGCTGCCACCCTGGAAGTATTGGCACCCTGCCATCCAGTGGCCCTGCTGCCCACAACATAAGCAGAGCGGCAGCGCGCGCCCATCCCTTGTCGACGGCAATGAAATGGGGCAGTGTCGCTTGAGGTGACCCAATTCTCCACAGCCGAAGCATCTGACGCTAGGTGAACCACGGCTACGCTCGGGGCAGTCTCGCTGAAAATGACCCGGCTGCTCGCAGTGGTAGCACCGGGGAAGTCGGCGAGACTTACTCGCATCAGTTGTCGTCTTAGGCGCCATTGTGATGGCCGATATCGACTCGTGTAGCCCGCGAATATGATCTTCGATGACTGTGAGCCGGTTGTTGTCCGTCACAGTCTTTTCGGCTTGACTCACGGTTGCTTCACCCCCGACCGGGCGGACCGCCCCGATGACGTCGACCTCGCGATTTCGCACCGCCTTGATCGTCTTCTTCGTCTCCTCGAATTCTTTACTAACGCGTACCGCGTCAGTCAGAGTGGATACGTTTTGGTTGATTAACCTCTCTTGCAATTGCGTGTCACGGAGGCCACAGATGAATCGGCCGCACTGGAATCCCTCCATAGCGCTGTGGTCGCTGGGCAGAGCCGGCTGGGCTAGCCCACTCAACTCTCTGATCCTGGCTGAGAAGTCTTCAACAGACTCCGAAGGTGATTGGCAAACTCGGTTGAGTTCGACATGAGCCTGCAACGTGCTTATTTGCCGACCAAACCGACTTTTCAGTGCTTCAACCACCCTGCCGTAGGCCTTCCGTGACTCTTCGGTGAGTGACGCGAATGTGTCCAGTGCGACTCCGTCCAAAAGACCCACCATAGCCGCCAGCCGGTCCCCGGCTTTCATGCTCGCCGTCTGAGCCTCGAATCGGCAGAACCATTTCTGCCACACTTCCCCCGACTCTCCACTAAATTTCGAAGCTCTTGAAAGGAAAATGGTAGATAAATCCATAGTTTGTTATACTGAACTCTACTGGAGAGAACCTCTCAACACCCAAAGTCTCTACTCACCGGCTCCGTCCACCTTTTCCACCGTGAGCTTGCGTAGGCCGTCACAGAACTCTCACAGCAATCTTCTTTCTTAAAAACTCATATGCAGCCCATTTACGTTATTGGTCCTACCGACCGCGCCAAAATATGTTAGGGCCAAGTAAAGCTGCATATACCACGACACGGTGTATTGTGCTTCCAGCGACCGAAGACCAAGCACGGACACGGCGACCCGCCGACTGACCCAGTCTGGTCACGGTCGCGCCCTTATATAACCACGGCACAGAGCGCATGCGCGATGACCGCGCGGCGGTCAGGCGGCTCGCCGGCCGGACGGCCGGGCCGCCGACCCCGCCCTGTTCCACGGCCCCACACGGCTGGTCCGCGGTCACAATATCCCATCAGGTCATCTAAGATAATTGCGTTTTAGGCAAGCTGAATTTACTTTTTGTGAATTTTTTTGACTGCATTTTTGGTAAAAGCTTCTCTTCATGTAATATGGACACATAAACAATCGGTGCACACATCAGTATACACACAGACACACACAGACATGCAAACACATATAATTGACCTTGACCTAGCTTGACCTGGAATGACCTCAGCAGCAAAAATCTGGACGGGTAGTGTGACAAAGAGGTTCTAGCTGGCTTGGCACCAGAAAACGGCATCGTCATCGGTATATGATAAGCAGCGCACTTGATATCCAACGGTGACCCAAAACAGCAACATTTTTTAGTTTGACCTGACCTGGAAGGTCAATGACTGACCTGAGAAGGTAAAACTGGGTACCATTGGATTCGTCTCTTCCCAAAGAATCTTTGTGGTCTTTACCGCTAAGCTCTATCTCCAACAGGAACAAAATGGCGCGGGGGGTGGCAACCCCCCCCCCATGTGCGTTCTAGGATGGGAAAATGGCATGTGCGGGCGAGGGTTAACCCTCGCCCGCACATGCCATTTTCCCATCCTAGAACGCACATGGGGGGGGTGGTTGCCACCCCCCCCCCGCGCCATTTCGTTCCTGTTGGAGATAGAGCTTAGCTGTAAAGACCAAAAAGATTCTTTGGGAAGAGACGAATCCAATGATACCCAGTTTTACCTTCTCAGGTCAGTCATTGACCTTCCAGGTCAGGTCAAACTAAAAAATGTTGCTGTTTTGGGTCACCGTTGGATATCAAGTGCGCTGCTTATCAAATACCGATGACGATGCTGTTTTCTGGTGCCAAGCCAGCTAGAACCTCTTTGTCACACTACCCGACCAGAATTTTGCTGCTGAGGTCATTTCAGGTCAAGTTAGGTCAAGGTCAATTATATGTGTTTGTATGTCTGTGTGTGTCTGTGTGTATACTGATGTGTGCACCGATTGTTTTTGGGTCCATATTACATGAAATCATGATCTGAGAAGCTTTTACCAAAAATGCAGTCAAAAAACTTCACAAAAAGGAAATTCAGCTTGCCTAAAACGCAATTATCTTAGATGACCTAGGTTGACCTTGACCCTGACCTTGACCCCTGTACATCGTCGAACAACATGTTCCATGATAGGTGGGAGGTAAGACTGGCAAAAAAGGCCGAAATCAGGGTGTCAAAAGCTCACAAGGCCCATGGCAGGCGCAAGATGTTGAGAATTGGCCATTTGGGTCATGACATGACCTGAAAAACAAGGTCATATCTCCGAAACCAAAAATCACAGAAACTTGAAATTTTCAGTGGACCTCAAGAAAGGATAGAGGAGCAGCTATACGAAAAATCAGCCTTCTAGCTCTAAAAATGTTGAGTGCAGAGCAGAAAGACTACCTGGGGGGGGGTGGCAACCACCCCCCCCCCCCCCATGTGCGGGCGAGGGTTAATCTCAAGCATTGGCTAAATGTTTCACCAGAACCAGTTAGTTCTTACCTCGCCCATCGCTTCAGCGTTTGCTAGCGCGCCCCATAATACTAAATCATCATCCACTGCAGCATCTATAGTACCAGTAGTACACAAAGGCTAAAGGGGGTCAGTCTCACCAAGATCGTCCATCACATCATGAGCATGTTCCCCTCCAAGCTGACCTGTAGCTGGACGACCAGCGACTCCTTGGGCACGGTGGAGAGCAGCGGTAGGCGGATGTCGCCATGGCAGGGAAGCTTCACGGGCATCTCAGCCACATCGAAAGCCAGGTAGGAGCCGGATGGTGATGTCATAACTCTCAGTCCATCGCTCCATGGCAGATCTGGCCAGTCCGAGCCCTAGGGGAGAGAAAGAGGGAGAGAGAGAGAGAGAGAGAGAGAGAGAGAGAGAGAGAGAGAGAGAGAGAGAGAGAGAGAGAGAGAGAGAGAGAGAGAGAGAGAGAGAGAGAGAGAGAGAGAGAGAGAGAGAGAGAGAGAGACAGACAGACAGAGCAGGGCTGTTACAAGAGGGTGGAGAGAGTGAGTTTATTGTGGTCTTGATGTGAATCTGCAAATGCGAAATACCTACTATCATCAAGGTACTGCAATGAAGACAACATTCAATGAAGGATACCGTCGAGAAAGGATACCGGACAGCACGGCTTAGTGATCAGTGATCACTGAGGTATGATCACTGATCATACCTCGATTTCCACCGTGTGAACTCGGTGCGACAACTCGGTCATCTTCAGCTTGGCGATGCCTTCGCCGTCCGTCGTGATGTTTCTACACTGTTTTTCAGTCGTTTCAGCCTCCGTGTGATTCACTCTCCAGAGGAGTGGAAGACTCTTCAGTTCTGCAAGAAGCTCCGGACTAAGCTGCAAACAAATGATATGGTCAGGGACCAAGGTCAAAGGTATAGAGCTCCGTTAGGCTGCAGTGACAGGCCTGGAGTCAGTTTTTCAACGGCAACATCGCCGGCTGCGGATATTTCTAGTCTTTGGTAGCCCATAAGTTTCGAAAGCCACACGAACTAACAACCACTGATATCATCATCATCATCATCATTCTTTATTATGCACCGCTTTTACAGCGACAAATACAAATATATACATGTGTGTGATCACAAATGATGGAAGCCTGAAAAGCTGGTATCTCCGGCATATGTAGGTGCTCAATGTGAGCACGTGAGGAGCCTCAATAGGCGCCTGGAGGCCTCACACGTTCCTTGAAGGACCAGCCGAATGCTTTCCGCCAAGCCGTCCTCCTACAAGATGTCAAAAACGAGGTCAGCCAGCCGGGCAAAAGAAACTGCTGGTGACCGTTCGTGACCTGAGATGACCTCAGGGGCACACAGAGGGGTTAGAGGTGCATTTTTTCGATTCAGTGTGTCATGTTTACCCATGAACCGATGTTTGAGAGGGTTTTGAACACCATTCGTCCACAAGAGGTGCATTTCAATTTTCTCCCATTGATTTATAATGGGAGGACACAAAATTGACCTGACCTTAGGTCAACGATATCAGAATTCCGAGATATACATTTTGTACATACTGTTATTCTTATCAATCTCTGAAAATTTCAAGGCGATCGTTCGGCCGCTGTAGCTCTGACGAGGATTGAAACTTTTTCTGAGGTGAGGTCACGTGACGTGATCTTTTGACCTGACCTTGAAAGCCCTGGGTCTGAAATTTTCACAACATGTGCGGAAAGGTGCATGAACAGGTGTGACAAAAAACAAACACCCTCCCCCCGGCCCGGCGCGGGTTAAAAAGGCATCGTAGGCATCTCCCCCACCAGGACGACGTTTTTTCGGCTGACAGCTCAGTGCATGTATGTACGTTCGGCGTCGTGTCGTACCTACTACCTTGTTTAGCTCATCCCCGTTCGGCGTCGTGTCGTACCTTGTTTAGCTCATCCCCGTTCGGCGTCGTGTCGTACCTTGTTTAGCTCATCCCCGTTAGGCGTCGTGTCGTACCTTGTTTAGCTCATCCCCGTTCCGCGTCGTGTCGTACCTTGTTTAGCTCATGCCCGTTCGGCGTCGTGTCGTACCTTGTTAAGCTCATGCTTTGGTAGGAGGTAAGTGAAGTCAGCCAATGGTGACGACGTGTTGACTCCAAACCCATTCCTGAGGACCGAGTGGCAGCATTAGTGCACGGTCAGAATGGCTCCGGCGGATGTCTTCATAAAATAAGAATTAGTGGAAATAATGATGAAAATATGGATGCTTAAATAATAAGGATAAAGCCGACAAAGATAAAGATATAACAGAAAATAAAAATTAGAATGCCAAAATGCGCATAAATTGTATCAACAAGGACAGCACACGACTCGCTGTCATACTGAAACGCTAATTTTCTCTGACACTCACTCACTCACTCACTCACTCACTCACTCACTCACTCACTCACTCACTCATACACTAACTCACACACTCACTCAATCACACGCACGCACTCACGCACTCACTCACTCGCACCCACTCACTCACTCACTCACTCACTCACTCATTCACTTACTCACTCACTCGCAAGCGCGGACGCACACTGACTCATTCGCTTACCCACTCACTCGCAAACGCGCACACACACTCACTCATTCGCTTACCCATTCACTCACTCTCTCACTCACTCACCGAGTAGGTGGGTAGTACACGGTCCGAGTGCAGATCTCTATCACTTCATTCGTCACTGGCCCTTCCTCGCCAAAGTATGTGACACGGTACTGCAAAAAAAAGATCACAGCAGAATTTGTCAACGCTAACAAACATCATATATATATATATATATATATATATATATATATATATATATATATATATATATATATATATATATATATATATATATATATATATATATATATATATATATATATATTAGGGTGTCCCAAAAAAACTTTTTTGTTAATTATTTTTGACCGGCTGAAGGCTGCCCCCGTTCCACTTGGCTGGGATATGATGCTGACAAAATTTCAAGTGAATCAGAGTACGTTTAGAGGTTGCGAGCAAATGAACATTTTTGTCTCTTCTTAGGTGCATTTTAACATGGCTACTAGGATCGCATGCATGGCATGATTCAGACGGGGCAGAATCGTTCGCACTTTTTCCCTCCAGTCGTTTCAGCTGTTTCCTTGGCGGTTTCCGGAGGTTGGCCACAATTTTCATCTTCAAACTGTCCGCAAGGCGACCATCGACGAGCATCATTCCAGAAACCATCGTTAGGCTCCTGATGGTGCCTGAAGTCGCGGGCAAAGGCCGCGACCACTTCCCTCCTCTGCAGCTGCGTCTCGGTCGCATCTTTGTTGCCGGTTAACTTAAGATGAAGATCGTCCAGGCACATACACCGGATCAGGATATGGTCAGGTGTGTCGTCTCCTTGCAAACGGCGCACCTCACCGCTGAGTACCGCACGTCGGGTCACCCTGGGCACTGGGCAGGTCCGCGCCAGGAGGCGGCCGATCCGGTGGATGTACTGGTACGACATACCTACTGCAGTATCCAGCACGTAGTTGATGCAGATAGGCATCCACCGCCTAGCCCTTGCTTACGCCAGAGACTGAGGTGGAGGTCGGCATCCGGTCTCCCCAGATCCTCTTGAAGAAGGAGTCTGGCCATGTCATGCGTCAAGCAGTTGCAGCCGCCCCTGCTCCGGCACTTGTGATGGCCTTTGCTTCTGCCGGCACCTCCTGCGGGAAGCCGGCTGCTTCTCTTGACCAGCTCGTCGTCCCTCTTACGGTCCTACTGCCTAGGCTGAGACGGAATATGACGATCTCCAATTGCCGCCATGTTGAAGCAGCATTGGCATTCCTCTCGAAGACTTTGTAACCTCCTGGTCCATCCATGTTCCTGCTGACGACTCTGGTGGTGGACCCAGGTTTCATCGCGAAATAAACCAAGGAGTTTAATAAGGAAGGACGACGCAGCCTATCACATGGTCAGCCATAGAGCAAGGGCTCTTAATATCGTCAATGATGCCGCCGAACGGGGAATCTCGCTTATCTAGCGGTACAACACCACCACCAAGTCAGAAGAGCAGAAGCAATACCTGCTTCAGCTAGTGCATCACCATCAGCAGACGCAGCCCAAGAAAATCAAGGATGGATAGACAAAGAAAGTGTTTCATAGATAGTGCAGTGCTACCTTCTGCTGTAAAATTGTCTAAATACCCTGATTTGTCATGCTTGTTCAATCGGTATATACCTACACATATTATTAAATGGGGTTTGCTCACTTAAAAAGTGCACAAGCTCGCAACCTCTAAATATACTCTGATTCCTCTGAAACTCGACCAGTGTCTTCCTTACCGGTAGTGGAACCGGGGCAAACTTCAGCCCCTTGAATATTTCATAGTTTTGTTTTTCCCATGTATGCTTGGGACACCCTAATATATATATATATATATATATATATATATATATATATATATATATATATATATATATATATATATATATATATATGAGTGAAGTTGGGAAGCAGTTTTTCACGAATACATGTTTCAATGAAAATGACAGCGTAACGGGCGTTGTTTTGCTTCTTGCCAAGATTCTCTAGGCTTCTCACAGTTTTTCGATCATCTAAGGAAAATTCATGTAAAATAGTGCCTATATTGCCAGGTAACGTTTCGTCAACATATCCGTTAACATCTTCAGACATGCATATAAGGCACAAAAACAGAAAAAAGTACATCTATGGTTCGGATCGTGCGTCGCTAGATAACAGGTTTGCATTTCTTCAGTGACCTAGAACTAAATTAAACAGCAACGAGAGCAAGCAATTGTAGCAGTAGCACCTCCGGTTACACTTACACTTCCACACTGCGGTATCGAGAACAAATTCTACCAGTCCGTGATGTCATTAACGTACATACAATCGTTCATAAATATCTTTAACACAATCGTCCATCAACATCTTTAACACAAATAACCATTCAATCGAGATGACAATCATTCTCATTTGCATTCGTATCTGATCCTAAGCCTTCCTAAAACCTTGGTGCTAGGGGCCGTCCATCATAGAGCGAGAGTGACCCTTTCATATCCATCTGTCTGTTTATGAGAGGGTCTCTATATATATAAAGGGTCACTCTCGCTCTATGATGGACGGCCCCTAGCACCAAGGTTTTAGGAAGGCTTAGGATCAGATACGAATGCAAATGAGAATGATTGTCATCTCGATTGAATGGTTATTTGTGTTAAAGATGTTGATGGACGATTGTGTTAAAGATATTTATGAACGATTGTATGTACGTTAATGACATCACGGACTGGTAGAATTTGTTCTCGATACCGCAGTGTGGAAGTGTAAGTGTAACCGGAGGTGCTACTGCTACAATTGCTTGCTCTCGTTGCTGTTTAATTTAGTTCTAGGTCACTGAAGAAATGCAAACCTGTTATCTAGCGACGCACGATCCGAACCATAGATGTACTTTTTTCTGTTTTTGTGCCTTATATGCATGTCTGAAGATGTTAACGGATATGTTGACGAAACGTTACCTGGCAATATAGGCACTATTTTACATGAATTTTCCTTAGATGATCGAAAAACTGTGAGAAGCCTAGAGAATCTTGGCAAGAAGCAAAACAACGCCCGTTACGCTGTCATTTTCATTGAAACATATATATATATATATATATATATATATATATATATATATATATATATATATATATATATATATATATATATATATATATATATATATATATATATATATTAGGGTGGTCCTTATTTTCGAAAATCGTATTTGGATACCTTGCGCCCCTTCAATCGGTGCCGTTTAACGAAAAAACCTGTCTGTCAAAATTTCAGATCCCTACTTTATTATTTACTGGTAGCTCAACGCTCGTTCGTTCGTCAATGTTCGCTCAATGTCCGTTTCGTTGATCAACGTTCGTTCCCTCTTCCTCAGGTGTAACGGTTGTCTGCGTCGCAAACTTCTGGGTACATGGTGTCCCCCAGTTATGAACTCCTTGGCTCCAAGTTCCCAGTAGCGGCGGAACACCTTCAATTAGGGGGGGGGGGGGCACTGCCGACTTTTGGTCCCATTCTTTCCATGCAACGCCCATAGGGCTATACTAAAATGGCAAAATTAAGGGGGGCACGGTGCTCCGGTGCCCCCTCCCGTTCCACCACCTATGCAAGCTCCCATCCCGCGGCCAATCTCTCGCCTACTTCCTCCACCGCCACCAAATCCTCTAGGAAACGGTCCGGGAAGCGGCCAACCGGACGTTAGAGAAGGTACTAGAGTAGAGGAGTTCTGGGCCAGGGCCAGGAATCCCACCCAGCACAAAGGGAGAGCGGTCAAGAAGGTGGAAACTCTCTTCGACGAGTGGAAACGCCTGAAAAAGAACAAGAACAGGACTTCCGCCACCCAAACAAGCAACGAGGACGTATTCAAGAAACAACTGGAAAATATCTTTGATATCGCCCACGGTGACGCAATGTCCTTGATACCTAACCATCCCGGAAGATCGCGCCTTCCTTCTCGCCCAACGTGAGCCAGGGAGACGGGATAGAATGACAGAGGCAGACATGGCGCTCCATTCCCAAGAAAAGAAGAAGAGGAGGAGGGATGACGCCGAAGAGAGGAGGAGGAGCAAGGCGTCGCGTCGGAGGAGGCGCGGGCGGCAGCCGACCAAGTGGAGCTGGAAAGCATAACCTCGAGTAGCTCCGAATCGTCCCCACTTCGCGGAGCCGTGAGACCTGGCCCCAGCATGGGTACAGCCACTCTGTCATCCCGAAAGCGTGGTCGAACCACGGCCATCACGCCGCAACTTTCCGCTAACGTCTAACGTGTGTGTGTGTGGGGGGGGGGGGTCGGTTGGACCCCTCTGCCTTTTGGCTCCAGATCGCGCTAGAGCTTTGCGAAAAAACGAGCGTGTTGCCCGTGACGAGAGGAAACCGATGATATCCAATTTAAGGTCCTAGGTCATTGGTTGACCTTCCAGGTCAGGTCAATGACCCAGTGGTCAGAAAAATCGGGACCTGCAAGAGCTTCGTACAGTGAAGCTGTATTGTTTTTGGGGGTGCTGATCACGAATTTCATGCTAGTTTTGATCACATATGATGTCCTCGTGCATTTAGACCAGGTCGGGTCAGGTCAGGTCAGGTCAGCCATTAGGCGTCCTGCCGGCTACCCATAGTAGGTCTGAACTACCACTGGTGGCGTCGTAACACATAACAAAGGCACCAAAACTACTTCGTAAATGTTCAAATGGATGCTAAATTCGAAATCAGCCCGAAAAACTGCCCTAGAAACATGTATACCTCGGAAAAGTGACACGAGGTCATCATAGGTCAATGACCTGACCTGACCTGACCTTCAGGTGACCTTGACACCCACCGTAATGCATGGGGCGAACATCATTTCACATGTTTGGACGTTTATAATCGCAAAAATATTAGAAACACGCGGATAATGAGAGCTGACATACGCTGAATCGCGACTCCGGCCAAACATGGTCTCGAGAAATAGGTCACAGGTCAAAGGTCATTTGGGTCAGGGTCATGAAATTTTCATAGTATGTATAAAATTGATCATCTCGAGGATACTGAAAGTCTCGTCGCGATCGGCCGCTTTTTACGTGAGTTATTCGCGAAAACTCATGGGGGTCCATCCCACCCCTACACATACGAGGGTTAATATGCATTGAGCCACCAAAAAGCATCCGCCGATTTCGCTCTTTTTGCTCTTTTTCCACGTTTCTAGACGAATGGCATC